GGCAGCCAGAGAAACCCATCACGTAAATGTAGCTGGCGGCAGATCAGTGCAACAGAGATACTGATAGGACCCTGGGAGTGGGAGCAGGGCCAGAACCAGATGTGTGTATGATGTGAGGCCGAGGAGCCCAGGGCTTGTCTCATGGTAAGTTAACATGCTTACTGTCGGAACTATGAATGAAGCTCAGCATCTTTTCCTCTGTCTGAATTCTGCTCATTTTCCTTTCCTATAAACATTGTCATTTGTCTACTTTTTCTGGCTGTTGGCAACTATGAAATGCCTGCTGTGCCCTCTGCTGAGGGTGGAGCATGTATTAGGGCCTTCAGAATCAACTGCAATCTCTGAAGTCAAGTTGAATGAAAGACCCTTTTTGAAACGGCCTATAGCTTATCTTTAAATGCATTTTCTGGGAGCAGCAGGGACTTGAGGTGAAATTTCCAGTTCTAGCCCATTATCCAGTTATTGTCATCAGTTTTCATCCCTACTTACAAAGAATTTAGAGCACACATTTGATTTAGTTGCAAAAGGGGCCAGTCAACTTCTAGGTGGGAATGGTGGGGCCTGTGACCACTTTAACTTCACAAGGGGAAGGTAAATTAAGGTCAAACACACTTCTCTCTCCAGCCTGGGTTCAGCCTTCATTGCAAGGTCACACAGAACTCACAGCCAATACTCACGGTTATGGGGATTGTTAGGGAAGTAACAGGTTACGATTCAGGATCAGGATAGGCTAAGGAGACAGTTCTTCAGTCAGGACTCCATCTTCCCATCCATGACCACAGGCCGCCTCCCAGTCATTGGTCCCTCAGATCTCTTGGGCCAGCCCATGTGGGGGGAGGTCAGATGCGCAGGCATTCCCTCTCCTGAAGGCAATCAGTTGCCAGACTGCTGTCTCATCCCACCACAGGGGTGGGCCTGCTCCCTACCTCTGGGGACAATGGACAGGCTCCTGTAGGAAGGGTTTTCACCCTACTGATAATGGTTCCTATGGAGACCCATAGACCACCCCCTCATTGCTGTGTAACCTATAGTGCAGCTCCTCCCTGTGATGTTTGTCTCTACCTGTAATTAGTGGGCTGGCAAGCCCCCAAAAGGTATATAGGCGTGAGTCAGCAATATAGCTCTCTCTGACTCTGAGCTCCTTGCTGCTCACTCCCCTCTTCCCCCTCTCTCTTGTTCCCTTGCCCTCCTTCCCCTCCCCCCCTCCACGTGGATTACCAAGCGGGGCTGAGGTTAGCAATGCTACCATGAAATGTGTCTGACTCCATTTATTTCTATATATCGCTTTTATCTCTCATGCTCTCTATAACTTTACTATAATATTTACTTATTATCGCTGTTCAATTGCGCCTACCGAACCCGTAGTGATTGTGCTAGGAGCTGGCTTCTTTTGGCAAGCCCAGCCTCCTTCCTGTTCTGGAAATTGCTGCAAAGCCCATGAGCTCTACTAGGAAATATCCAGTTGCGCCCCACTCCACCAGCAAGCCTCCTGCCCTGGGGAGCGGTTCTCTCTCACTCTTTGGGCCGGGCACCCCACTGCACATGTCCTGTTTCTGCCATCTCCGCTACTGTTGCTTGTCTGCCACTACTTCTCACGTCTCTCATCATCTCCAGGTTTCTAACTCTCTGCACCCTGGGTCTAGGAGGTTCCCAGCCTAGAGACCCTGGGCCCAAAGGACATGCTCCATTCCCATCTCTTCTGATGGTGGCCATGGCACCCGCTGTCTTCTACAACCAGCTCTCTGCTACGCCTGCCAGATGGCAAAGCTGACCAATCTCTTCACAAGTACTCCATGCATCTCATTTGCATGGTCCCATGCCTACAGGGCTCCATGCACCTCATTTGCCTTGCTATCAAGCTGTCCACTCCCTCAGTGACTCATAAGCACCTCATTTGCATGGCCCCATTCAGTCGTTTGGTGGGCTTAGAACAGCGGTTCTCAACTTGTGGGTTGTGATCCCTTTGGGAGTCGGACGACCCTTTCACAGGGGTCGCCCAATTCCTAGCAGTATCAAAATGACAGTGATGAAGTAGCAACAAAAATAATGTTATGGTTGGGGGGTCACCACAACATGAGGAACTGTATGAAAGGGTCGCGGCATTTGGAAGGTGGAGAACCCCTGCTTTAGAAGCTCATGGCAAGAAAGGACATAGGCAAGCACTAGGCTGCTTGAGCAGCGCCGTTGCAGTGGGGCCTCTCCTCTCTGGGCCGTGAAGGAGTGAAGGGGTCCAAGCAGGGAGTAGCCAGGAAAATCTTTCGTGACATAATGGTGTTACATAAGTCAGGTTATGTCTTGGTCACGTATGGTGATGCTCACGGTGTATTTCAGGTAAAATCTGCTTTGACTCCGTCAAAGGGCTGTGGGGACATTCCATCATCTTTATTTCAGATTTCCCACGGGCTTTTTGCAGCCCTCTCATCCACTGTCCTCCAAAGAGCCCGGTTCACCCAGGACCAGCGGGGTGCAGGCAGAAACTTCAGAGACTGCTGTGAGTCTTCCTGGTGGACTTTAACTGTTGCCGGTGTGCCGGTGCCAGGCTGTGGCCAGTGTGGCGCAGGCTGGATGTCGACAGCCTCTCGGGCAGTTGCAGGAGCTGAGTGCGAGGCCCTGCTTCTGAGCCACTCCAGGGCCTGCGACTGACTCTGGGCTCCTCTCAAGTCTGCCTTCTGTGCTTTGGCGACTGAAGGGTGGCCCTGCGTGCCTTCCCGCAGTCCCTGCGAGGCTGCTGTGTGGAGCATGCTTCCCTGACAAGTCAGGGGGGCTCTCGCGTGTTCCCTGCGGTTCCCAGGCACCTGCCCCAACACAGCACTGCCTCGGGCGAGAGGGGACAAGCTGGCACTCTTTAAGCTCTTCGTCACCTGGCATCCTTGATCTGAGGGCACAGCTCAGGGCCTTGGCATCTCGGCCCCAGGACCTTCAGTCAAATGTGATGTCCCTCCTCTGGCCCATCTCCCCCAGCTCTCCCTAAGATCCTTGCCAGGGTCTGCCCAGCACGGCGCTCATCCGGGGCGTGGGCACTGCTGGGTGTACATTCCGTGGAGCCATGCTGTCAGCATCAGGGCTCTGGCCCACAGTGGGCAGTGGACATTGATTGTTGGCATGGGGCACGAAGACACCAGAAATATGGCTGTTTGTCACATCCTTCCTGTGAATCTGGCTCGTGAGGAGGTCACAGCACACGTGACCCCTGTGACTGAGGGGGGGGGGAGTGTCTTCCTCCACCCACCTGCATGAGACCAACCAGCTCCCTGCCCCAAGCTCCCGCAGACTCAGCCACCCATGGAACAGGGTTGAACTGCACCTGTGTGCTTCTGAGACTGTAACTCTTTATGGGAGTAGAAAGCCTCATCTTTCTCCCACAGAGTGGCTGGTGGTTTTGAACTGCTGGCCTTGTGGTCAAGGGCTATGCCACCAGGGCTCCAGACCACCACAGTATATATAGTCAGTCCATCCTGAAAGCAAAACTCCATACTGGCACAAAAATGATCTGTTCTCAGTAACATTTTGGGAAAGATCATCTCAGAAGTGCTGGGTAGGCCAGAATGTCTAGGGACTTGGCCTGTTCTGAGTCAGGACAAGATTCTCTTAGGAAGAAGGGTGTGGTTTCTCCTGGAGCCTCTCCAACTAGGCTGAAGAGTGAAATGCCAGGGGTCCGGCCGGACTCTACAAGAAAAAAGTCACTGCCATCAAGCCGATGCAGCTGCGTGGTGACCCTACAGGACGGGGGGAGATCGCTCTTTTGGGGAGTAGAAAGCCCCATCTTTCTCCCAGAGAGCAGCTGGAGGTTTTGAACGCTGACCTTGCAGTTAGCAGCCCCTCTCAGAGCCACTCTGCCACCAGGCTGCTCTGTTCAAGAAGGGCTCCTGGAATCCCGTCCCAGTGTGAGCCTTCCTCAGTAGGTGTTTGCAGAGTGGCCACCAGGAGGGTGGGGGAGGGGCTGCCCAGCTCAGTGTAAGTGGGGTCTCCAAAGAGAGAACGTCTCCACTCCAAATGCTCCACACAGTGCCCGGCCTTTTGGGGAGCCACATATCCCACTGGGAATGTGATGAAGACTGTGGACCCACCGTCAAAACCGGGCCTGGACAGAGGTGTCTGCTTGTCATTTTAGAAGGCTCATGGACCCTCTGTGGGGTCTGCATGACCCCACGTGACTCCGAGTCATCTCAGTAGGTCGAGGAGTCAGAGGCTGGGAGTTTTCTATTTCTCCAGAGCAGCGGTGCTCAACCCCCACTGTGCAGCAGAACCACCTGGAGGCTTTTTAAAGAGTTTTCAAATGTGCATGAAGTAGAGAGGATCACCTCATGCACCCGAGTCCCCATCACCAACTCTGACCACTGGCCAGGGTGCCTCCATGTGTCCTGCCCACAAGACCTGCTGGATGAAGATCCTGAAATGCCGTCACTGCTGCGAGGGCATGTGGCATATGAGGTTGGGGTTGTCCCATCTACTCTCCAGTGTGAGGACCCAGTGTCTGAGAACCCCCCACCCCCTTTCTCTTGACCTTCATTGGGTGAAGGGCAGATGGCTGCTGTCCTTGGGGTGTGCCAGTGCCTAGTTCACCCAGGGCTACTCACTCAGTTCTACTGAGGTTGCAGCCAGGTAGGTGTCTGTCTGCAAAGCCCCTTTCGTCACAGGTTGGTGGTCACTCTGTTCTGCAGGCAGTGCATTAAGACCAGGTCACCGGACCCACCGGTGGTTGTCACTCTGTTCAACGGGGCGCACACAAAGACCAGGTGGCCAGGGAAGGGTGCCTGCCAGGAAGACCCCAGGGCCTGTCCTTAGCCATGCCCATGAAGGGTTTGTCGTCTTTGAAGCTGGATCACCAGCGCGGCTTGTGGCAGAGGGCCGCGGGAAGCTCCCTTCGCCTTCCTGGTCTGCATGGGTCTCCAGGTGCGTCCTGGTGTCCCTGTCCTAAGCGCAGTCTGTTCCCTTTTGCAGGCCCAGCCGCCTGACTGCCTCCCTTACGCCCTGCGCCCTGGCTACACTCCCATGGGGCCATGGTCCTGCTGCCAGCGCCCTCGGAGCAGCCCCGCGCCGGCAGCCCTGGCGGCGCCCGGCACGTCATCATCAACGTGGGCGGCTGCCGGCTGCGCCTGCCCTGGGCCGCGCTGGCCCACTGTCCCCTGGCCCGCCTGGCGCGCCTGCGCGCCTGCCGCGGCCCCGACGAAGTGCTGCGCGTCTGCGACGACTACGACGCGGGCCGCGACGAGTTCTTCTTCGACCGAAACCCCTGCGCCTTCCGCACCATCGCGGCGCTGCTGCGCGCGGGCAAGCTGCGGCTGCTGCGCGACTCGTGCGCGCTGGCCTTCCGAGACGAGCTGGCCTACTGGGGCATCGACGAGGCGCGCCTGGAGCGCTGCTGCCTGCGGAGGCTGCGGCGCCGCGAGGAGGAGGCGGCCGAGGCCGAGCGCGGGGCCGGCTCGGGCCGCACTTCCCAGGCCTCCCCGGAGTGCGCCCTGGCGGCCGGCGGGCGACTGGCGCGCGGCCGGCAGCTCCTGCGCGACGTGGTGGAGAACCCGCACTCAGGGCTGGCGGGCCAGCTCTTTGCCTGCATCTCCGTCGCCTTCGTCGCCATCACGGCCGTGGGCCTCTGCCTGAGCACCATGCCGGACATCCGAGCTGAAGAGGAGCGGGTGAGCGCATGGGGCCGGGGAACAGGAGGGCTGAGGGAAAGACCCTTGACATCCTCTGTTATAGGGAACCCCGAGAGGGCCCCCAGACGCCAGGCTGGCCAGGCCTGGGGTGAGCCTCTCAGAGCTCGGCCACGCGACATACAAGCCTAGATCTCAGGAAAGACTTCCCGCCTAAGGGTCTGGGTGGTGGGCTTTCCTCAGCCACCCCAGACCAGAGGGTGGAGGGTCACAGCCTGGGTGTCCAGGCACCAGGATCAGCCACTGCTAGCAGGGCAGCACACTGGCACATGTGCCTTGGCAAACCAAGGATTTGCCTGCCTCATGCCCACCTATGCCAGCCTCAAATGTGGGTGGAAGTATCCTATGGTTCCCAGGACTCATTGGCAGGGCGGGGTGGTGGGGGGGGTGGGGGGTGGTGGTAACAGCCAGAGCTGGTCAGAGAGAGAGCAGCACGACAGCCAGACATAGCCCAGAAAGGTGACACCCAGGCTAGGCCAGGATCAGTGCTGCCCCTTCAGTGCACTAACTGGAGAGACACTACATGAGCCTGGGTGCCCGGTGCCAACTGGAAGACAATGTATTCAGATAGAGATGCTTCGCAAGCAAGCCATGTGACTGTGGAGACACTGGTCCTGATGGAGGTGAGGTGTGACTGTGGGGACACTGGCCCTGATGGAGGTGAGGTGTGACTGTGGGGACACTGGCCCTGATGGAGGTGTGAGCAGAGGGACTGGTCTGAGCATGCCAGTCTTGGGAATAGGGTGTGTGTTTGAACAGCCGGGGAATATTCTAGTAAGGAGGCCTGTAATTGGAACCACCCTGCTCTGGATCCACACAGATTCTCAAGCTGCTGGGGAGGAGATGCCAAGGGAGGCCATCTGACGCTCTACAGAGGGGCAGAGCTGTGTCCTTTTGTCTGTGCTGTCCAAGTTGCTTAGAGATGAGGTGGCAGGGTTCTAAGCCACCCACCTTCGGGAACAGAGCAACTTGCAGTGTCAGATCACTCAGGAAGCAAGGTTTAGCACAGGCTTACCTGTGCTTACTTACTAATCTGCAGTGAGTAGTCTGGAATGTTTTTCGAGCAGCTACTGAGCAAGGGGAGGGCAGCTGGGGGGCCGGCAGACACAGCCCCCACTGCCTGTGTCCTGGCGCCCCTCCCGTTCACAGCCGGCCTGCTGGGCACCTGCAGGTGCTATGGAGGGAGTTGGGGACCCATGGAACACTCTGGGTTTCTCCTGGAGGACTGAGCCGAGTTTGGCCTGAGCGGAGACTGCTGTTCGGGTGCCTGGAATAGACGGTCTTCGGCCCCAGGGGAAGGGCAGTGGCTGTCAATTCCCCCAGGTGATGAGGACAGGACGCGTCTCTCAGCAGGTCCGCAGGCTGCGAGGGCCACCGAGCCAAGCTCACTGCCTTGGCTTTTTCCTCCCGTGTTTCCTGTGTGAAACTGTTAGGTTTCTCAGGTGGGAAATACCTCGGTTCTTGGCTTTGCACGATAAAGAATTCACACCAAAGCCTGGTTTGTGATCCAAGTGGGTTTTTATAAAGGATGGAAGAAGTTTTGGGTTTACAGTCACGGACTGCACACCCATACCTGGTGGCCTGAGGCCAGAGAGACCTCAGCACAGCAGAACAGAAGGTGGAGAAGCAGCCAGAAAAAGGGCGGTGGGCTCAGGGTTCCAGCATTTAGGGCCTTCGGCTGGGAGGCATGGTTGCCGGTACTTGTTGACCCCATTGGCTGAATTAAGTCCACCTGGCCTACTTTGGGCCCACCCAGGTGTACCTGGTTGGGTCTTGAGTTTGGAACATGGCTGGCTAAGAGAGTGGGGGTGGGGAGTGGGGGGAGAGAGAGGACAGAGAGCCAGGCACAGAGAGGGACTACACCCTATCCTGCTACCTAACAAAAACCACGTCTGCCTCCACTTCTGCCTCCAGAAGCATCTTCCAGCTGACCTCCCAGTAAGGGCGCCCTTCTCTGTGGGGTAGCCACCGAGCCGAAGCTGGAGCCAGGAAGGGCCCTGGCCAGCCACTGCCCAGCTCTGGGTGGAGTCAGGCCACTCACCCACCAGTGGCAGTGCAGAGGTCCAGCAAGGTTTTGGTCATTTGCACAAGAGGTCTCAGCTTACCCATTTACAAATCAAAGACATGCTTCCCCTTGCTTCCCTTCTTCCTTCTCCCCCTCCGCCTTCTCCCACCATTCCCACAC